CCACACTAATCATTAATCACAAAATGCCCAACAAATTAGCTTAAACTCGGTCTTAGGGAGTTAATTTCTCAGTTGGGAGTCCCTCTTCCAGGTTGGCAGAAAAACAAAGCAGGATCACCTAATAATCAATACAGGCAGAAAGACACCAGAGTGCTAGCCAATTGTGCTATCTGTTACCTCACTGCAGGACATCTTACTCATGGCCATATGCTCCTTGATGATGCTTTGCTCAAGTCCAATGATTCATAAGGATATAGGGCCCTTCTTTTTGCATTGAATTGTGTTGTAGTAGTTTTATGTCTCTTCATAAATCCAAAGGGGAGAAGAAAAAAGGGAAGGGACAGATGAGCCTTAAGAAAGCTAAATTCATTTTCTTATCCTACTGTATATAAAATATTCTGTTAGAATGGCATCTGTATTAATTACTTTATCCTTGTGAGAAAATATCTGAAGTAAACAGGTTCAGCCTCACAACAGAAATTTATTGTAGCTTATGGTTAGAGGATGTAGTCCGTCATGGTAGGGATGAACACAAGGTAACTGTCCACATTGTGTACACTGCCCAGAAGCAGAAAGTGCTGAATACTGTACTTCTCTTTTGTCCTTTTGTTCATTAGAAGATCAGCATCTATGGGACAGCCCCGCCCACATTTAGGTGGGACCTCCCACCCCAGAGAGACTCATCAAGAAATTTCCTCACAAACATGCTTGTCCAGATTCTTGTTTCCACAGTGGTTCCTAACCCCATCAAGTTGGCTTTTAAAGTGAACCATTACAATATCTCATTTTTCATTTATATGTTTTTCTTATTTATTTCTCATTTGTTAATTTTATTCGCTTTACATCCTTGTAGCCCCTTTCTTCCTCCCCTCTTAATCCCACCCTCTCTCTTCCTCCCTCCCCTTTTCCTCCTAAAAGGAGAGCTCTCTTTCCCATCCATCCCATTTCAACAAGTTGCATCAGGACTAACCATGTCGTCTTCCCCTGTGGCCTGAGACTGAAGCATCAACCAAGGACCATACAGGAACTGGACCTAAGCCCCCTACAGAGATGTAGCAGATGGGCAGTTTAGTCTTGAAGTGGGTTCTCTAGTAATACAAGTGGGAACTGAATCACACATGGGCACACAAACTAGCTTTTTGATCATTTATATGTTTTTAGTTTTTAATAATGAGAACACCATGCATAAGAAACTATAAAAAATTGAAACCAGAAAAAACAAAAACAGAAAATTGATGACCAACCACAGGGGTATTTTTTGATATTGTTATATAGTTATATCATTTGTATACCCCCTTTTCTCCTCCAAACCCTCTGTCTTTCAGTTTTGTTCTGTGATCTTTCCATATTAAAGTCCTAGGTGTGATGGAACTGTCATACGCAGTTTCTATGTAATATATCTGTCTCCAAAACAGAGGTGGCAAAAAGTGACACATTTTGCTTTTTCCTGAGGAAGAATAATTGCTTTCTATTGTAAAGAACATTGTTCACTGGTTTCCTATCTGTGATGCAGGATGGATAAGTTTAACTTTTAAATGTTTATACTTATTAATTCATCAAGGAAATTTTCATTGCATTTAAATATCTGTCTTTATGTTCTGAAGCAATAAAATAATACATTAGCTAAGCCCAACAAAGAAAGAGCTAATCCAGAAAGAGCCTACCTATTATTATGCTGGGTCTTATGTTATCAAGGTTAGAATTCTCAGACTGATTTGTAACATGTTATAATCCTTGCTGGTTACAAATTTATGTTCCTGAAAGAAGAATAAAAAAGTAGTAAGCAGGTTTATTTTTCATGTCTAAAAATCAGATTTATGAGAATAGCAAAATGGTAAAAAGTTATTTAGAAACTTATACAACTCTCTCTCTCTCTCTCTTCCTCTCTTTCTCTCTCTCTCTCTCTCTCTCACACACACACACATTGCAGGAGACTTCTCCCACACCAGATGTGAGGTCATACTGTCACGTAGTTTTAACATTCTATTCTGCAAGCCAGGCTTATTTTAGAAGACAGTGGACATCATCTTTTGAGATTCAATTTGATTAACTCATTCTGGGTATCTTCTCTCTGCTAGGCACTCAAGAATCTAAAAACAATTCTTGTTTTAGTGTATATTTCCATGGAATCCCTGAGTTACTCTTATTTCCATTCTAGGCATGGTTTATTTCCATATTAATTCTTCTGGCCCTTGAACCCTCCAACCTGCCTTTCCTCTGATTAGCATAATAAAATACAAAGGGCCAAATGCCATTTGTTGCTGTTATTTACTGCTGTGCTTGTCTGCTGGATTCAAATAACTAGCCTGGCTGTTGTCTTCTTACTAATAACAATGCATAGAAGGCCAAAGTCAATAATGAAGAAAGGACATGATGGGAAGATGGCTCAGTGGGTATCATGGCTACTGTGAAGTACGAGAATCTAAGCCCAGACTACTAACACACAAGTAAAAATTGTGGGTGGCTGTGCATACCTATAACCCCAGTTTGGGGGAATTGGAGACAAGAGGATCTCTGGAGCTTGCTGGCCAGCTGGTCTTGAAGAATCTGTGAGCTATAGGTTCAGTGAGAGACCCCATCTCAACAAATAAGGTGGGGAATATCAGAAGAAGATACTTGGAATTGATCTTTGTCCTCCATATGCATGCATTCATGTATTCACATATTCATAGTTGTATACCTCCCTATAACACACATGCACACACACACATACACACACACACAGAGACGAGTCAAGGACAGTATTATTTTTTCCTCTAACCATCTAGACAAATAAACAATAACAAAATGAAGAAAAAATATACCAAAGACATCACCAAAAATATTTCTAAAAGGGATAGTGTTTTCATCTTAACATTGGCTTGACGAAATGATTTCAAATTTTCAAATAATGATTAAACTAACAGCTTTTGGGCAACCCTTATGGGTAAATGCAGAATAATGAATATTCATCAGAAGGTGTAAATGAATTGCCTGGCATACCGGATGAGTTTAGATAACTGCTTGTTTTGTTCTATTAATAAAATTGCTCCTGGCAGTTGCACTTATGAACTCACAGCAACTGTGGTTACCCACAAAAGACATGCATGCAATGGGGCCCACCACCTTCCATCATGCATGAGATGAAAGCCCATGAGGATCTGCCTCTCCCTGGGGTGTTATTGGTAGTTGAAAGCTGCTAAAGGAGAGAGTATAACATATTCTTCAGAGTTTAGCTACTGGATAGCTGCCATGCTCTGGTTGATAAGTCCCTCACTCATGCTCAAGCAAGCATCCTTATTTAAATTTGATGGGTCACTAGACAATTAAAAATATGAGGCCTAAGACATGAAGCGTATCCAGTTTGGAAGAAGGAGTTCAGGAGAACATGGAGTGATATAAGAGAAAGTGATGGAAATGAATGTGAGTAAATATATTATATAGACACATGTAAAATTATAAAATTGATTAATTAAAAAAAGTTTTCAAATTTTACTTCAGGAGACATTGTATCTTGTGGAGAAAGTGTTGTCACATCCATTCCAGTACCACTGCTCTTGAAACAAATAAAACCATGCCGCTTTCCATTCCAATATGGTGGCATACACCTCCAAACCTATCCTTCAGAAGGTAGAGTCAGGAAGATTGCTGCAAGATCAAGGTTAGTGTAGTTTATAAAGTGAGTTCCAGGACAGCCAGGCACTTAGCAGGAGACCTTTCACAAGAAAATTGGAGAAAATAAACAAACAACAGCAAAAAAAAAAAAAAAAAAAAAGCCAACAGCCAACAACAAACAACAAACAAACAAAAAGCCAAAAAAAAACAAAAAACAAACACCAAACAAATAAAAAAGAAAGACCTATAGTCAGTCCATTCATTACCTGGTTTCTTTTTAACTCCTCCACTAAAATCAACATCAGAATCAAAAAGCTTGGACTCTCTACAAAGGCTGCATGTGTCAATTCCTGAATCATTCACTGCCCTGGGTAACGCTTCTGTTATTTCTACTAGGAAGGCAGAGCAGAAGGGCTACAGCAGCAGGACATCAGTCTATGGGCTGTGATCCCTGACCCTCACTGAAAGATACAACAAACCTGTAGGCCCAGACCTCAACCTTCCCATCCATCTTTGGAAAAACAAGCAGTACTGAGACATCCTGGACCCTCTCCAGCAAGGCAGCTGTGCCTCTCAATACTGCAGATTGATGCTAGCCATGAAATTCTTGACAAGATATTTTTCTGCCATATGGTCTGGGAGTGCCCAGGGCATCAGGCTTGCAGAGACAAGGTAATTTAATGGCTTAAGAGTATCTTAACCATATTTTCTAGCAGAATCTCCATCTTGGGAGATGAAATCTGCTTATGAATACTGGATATTTATTTACTCAAACCATTCATTACCTCCTTCTGTCCCACATATAGTGCTCACTTGGGATCCTGATATTTCTGAGTTATCTTATTTCCTCAGACAGTGTGGCACAGAGTATTAATATGCCTATTAACCCTCTCTGTAAAAATAAAAGTGAAAATCGTGAAGAAAAGGAAATACGAGAGATGCGTATGTCACTCACTCACTACTCTTGCTTTAACTGTAAAAGAAAATTAAGGATTAAATTTTCTAGCAGAATGGGAACAAGTCAACGCTCAGTTACCAATTTCTACACTGAACCTTACTTTGGTTCAGTGCTTCAGTATGGCTTCCAACCACATATGAGAGGTTTTATAGCGATCTTCCATCCTTTGAAGGACCTCCTGAGATACATTTTCTCAAATGTAAATTCTCAAGGTAACCATAGTCATGTCACTCTCCTCTGTAACCACTTAGAATGATCATCTCTAGTAGGAGTTGAAGAACATGCTAGCTCTGCCACAGGGCATACATGATGGTACTGCACCGGGGAAAAACACCTTGAAACATGCCTACCTCAGTGTCCCTTCACATCATATTCATTACAATGTTTTTTCATAGTTCTTTTACCTTTGTGCATTTTATCACAATCTTTGTTAAAATGTATTTGCTTGATGCTCATTTTGACAGCATATACATTAAAATTGAAATGATACAGAGATCAGCCTGGTCTCTGTACTACAATAAAACATGGATTCATGACCTGTTTCATATCCTGTTGAATGGAATAAGTCAGTTATATGACTATAGGTATCATTTTTTTCTCTTATATGGATTTTAGGTGAAAACAGACTACTAGACTATAGAATGATAAGAGAGAGAGAAGGTTAAAAAGGACAATAAAGAGAGCCAATATCAGGAAATTATAGTACATGCAAATATGACAATGTCAGTGAAACTCATTTTTACAATTAGTTTATGAGAAAAAAGACACATTTTCCCACATATCATTATAATGAATTGATTTCTTACAAAATAATGGCACAGTCCTGAAGTCACAAAAGAAAATCACTTTATCTTTTCTTGGCCACAACAAAAGAATCCATGCTGAATTTTAAATAACTTTGCTTAACTTAGGAAAGCACCTTGTGCTTACTGTAAGGTACTGAGTACACAGAGATTTGTTGGAAGACAGCAGTCTGCTCGACACATACTTCTGTGTTGTTGGAGGTAATTCTTCTTAAAGTTACCTTATTTATATTTCCAGTAATATTCTCTTTGTTTTCTTTGAGAAGACTAACTGGATTGTTTTTTGTATACTATTTTACAATTTAATCTTTATTTTAGTCAATAATATACACTGAGTGTTTTTAATCTTTACATATATTTTGCTTTGTGCTTTATTAAGTAAGCAGCAGCATTCTTCAATTGGTTACACTATTGATTTTGATCACATAGAAATTTATAGTTTAATTTGTCTGTAAATTTTTACTTTTGATTGACTCGCAGTGTTAATTTACTATTAGTTTTTGTAAACTGAGTTGGGGAATAATTTTTTTTTTCTTTGAAGCTAAATTCCATGAGCAGGAGCTGCAGGTCAGTGGGAAAGTACTGTTCTACCTTACTTGAGGCCCTGAATCAAATTCTAAATACAAAAAACAAAACAAAAAACCCCAAACAAAACAAAAACCTAAAAAAAGCCCCAAACAAACAAAGAAACAAAATAGAACCGAACATACAACCAACTAAACAACTAGCCAGGAAATGGCTAGCATTGAAACAGAATGTCCACATTAGTTATTATTTATTTTTCAAATATAGTACATTTCATCTAGTTTAATCTCATTAATACACGTTGTCTTCTCACTGTGTTTAAAATTAGCAAGAATCAACCAACTCTGCCTGCAGTTCCAGGGTCAGGGGCCACTGGAGACTCAGCCTAGCTGAGGTCTGTTCCCGGACCCCCATGCACCAACTCCTCAGCATAAGCTTTGGTTATAGTCACCGGAATAGCAAAAATTGGAGACTGTCAGCAAAGGTGGGGTCTGAGCCAAACCCTCTGCATGCTAGTTCCCAGGCTTCACCTCTGCCTGCAGTCCCAGGAACAGCGACAGTCAGACTGCCATCAGAGAGGTAGCAGACAACAGCAACTACAGAGGGTGACAGCCATCAGGGTCCACCAGGAACCACCAAGTCTGCCAAAACCAGCAACAACCTGATAGCTAGAGGACAGTTTAAGAAGACACTCAACGAAACCCAGGGCAATACAGCACCACTAGAATGCAATGTCATACTCCAACAAGCCCTGAATATGCTAACACACCTGAAGTGCAAGAAAACAATCTTAAATCTGTGGTTATGAAAATGATAGAGGCCTTGGAAAAGGAAAATAAATCCCTCAATGAAATACAGGAAAATACAACCAAACAAGTAAAGGAAATGAATAAATTCCTTAAAGAAATACAGAAAAAAATAAGCAATCAGGAGAAGGAAATGACTAAAACTGCTCAAGACCTAAAAAAGGAAATAGAAACAATAAAGAAAACAATCTGAGACAATCCTAAAAATAGAAAACCTAAGATAGAAGACAGGAACTAGAGGAGCAAGCGTCACCAACTGAATCCAAGAGATGGAGGAGAGACTCTCGGGCACAGAAGATTAAAATAGTAGACACTGATAAATTGACCCAAAAATGATGAATCTAAAAAGTTTCTGACACAAAACATCCAGAAAATTTGGGACACTATGTTAAGACCTAACCTACGAATAATAGGAATAGAAGAAAGGGAAGATTGACAGCTCCAAGGCTCAGAAAATATCTTCAACCAAATCACAGAAGGAAATTTCCCTAACCTAAAGAAAGAAATGCCTATAAACGTATAAGAAGTCTACACCAAATAGATTAGACCAAAACTGACCATATGCTCAGTCACAAAGCAAGCCTCACCAGATACAAGAATACTGAAATAACCTCTTGTATCTTATCACACCATCTGGGACTAAAGCTGGAAGTCAACAATAACAGAAACAACAGAAAGCCTACGAACTCACTGAAACTGAACAACTCTCTATTCAATGACCACTAGGTCAGGGACCAGTGAAGAAAGAAATTAAAGACTTTCTAGCATTCTAGTGAAAATGAAAGCACATCATCAAGCTTGTGGAACACAATGAAAGCAGTGCTAAGAGGAAAGTTCATAGCACTAAGTGACTTCATAAAGAAACTGGAGAAATTTCATAGTAGCAACTTCACAGCTCATCTGAACTCACTAGAACAAAAAGAAGAAAACACACGAAAGAGGAGTAGACATCAGGAAATAATCAAACTCTGGGAAAAAGGTCAATAAATTAGAAATGAAAAACACTTCAAAGAACCAACAAAAGTAAAAGCTGATTCTTTGAGGAAATTAACAACATAGATAAACCTCTAACCAAACTCATTAAATAGCAGAGAGGCAGAGAAATAATATCCAAATTAACAAAATCAGAAATAAAAAAGGGGCATATAACAACAGATGCTGAAGAAATCCAAAGAAATATTAGGTTCTACTTCAATGCCTATACTCCACAACACTAGAAAATCTAAATGAAATGGCAGATTTTCTTGATAAATTCCTATTACCAAAATTAAATTGTGATCAGGTTAACCATCTAAATATAAATAAACTTATAACCCCTAAGGAATTAGAAGCAGTCACTAAAAATTTCTCACACAAAAAGAAAGAAAGAAAGAAAGAAAGAAAGAAAGAAAGAAAGAAAGAAAGAAAGAAAGAAAGAAAGAAAGAAAGAAAGAAAGAAAAAGAAAAAAAATCCCAGGGCCAGATGGTGTCAGAGCAGAATTCTACCAGACTTTCAAATAAAAGTTAGTGGCTACTCCTCAAACAATTCCACAAAATATAAAAGAAAGGAACATTGTCAAACTCATTCTATGAGGCCACAGTCACCCTAAATCCAAAACCACACAAAGACCAACCAAGAAAAAGAATTTCAGACTGATTTCTCTCATGAACATTCTTTTTAAAATAAATTTGATGTTTAATAAATATTTTCTTTTATTATTATTATTATTATTATTTTATACAATTTATTCAGTTTGTGTCCTAGTTGTAGCCCCTCCCTCATCTCCTCCCAGTCCCAAACTTCCTCTCTCTTCCTCCCCTATGTCTCTCTCCAAGTCTAATGATAAAGGAAGTCCTCTTCCCTGACTGTATGACCCTAGCCTATCAGTCCCATCAGGACTGCCTGGATCCTCTTCCTCTGTGGGCTAGCTAGGTCGCCCAATGGGGAGAAGTGATCAAGGAGTTGACAACCAAGTTCATGTCAGAGATTGTCTCTTCTCCATTTATTATGGAATCCACATGGAGACTGAGCTGTCTGTGGGCCACATCTATGCAGGGGGCCTATGTCCTCTTTACGTATGGTCTTTGGTTGATGTATCACTCACTGTAGTCCCACCTGAGCCCAGCTTTTTTGGCTTTGTTGGTCTCCTTGTGGGAATCTTGTCCCCTCTGGGTCCTTCTATCACCCTCTTCTTCCATAAGATCCCCTGAGCTCTGTCCAAAGTTTGGCTGTGAGTCTCTGCATCTGCTTTGAGCCCCTGCTGGGTGCAGTCTTTTAGAGGAGATCCTGGTAGGCTCTGGTCCTGTTCTCTCTCTTCTACCACTTTCAATGTCTATCCTGTTTTCCATTCTGAATGAGAATTAAGCATCTTCCCTAGGGTCCTTCTTGTTGTTTAGCTTCTTTAGGTATGCAGATTTTAGTATGTTTGTCTTTTATTATATGGCTATTATCTGCTTATAAGTGAGTGCATACTGTATGTGCCCCTCTGCTTCTTGGTTACCTCACTAGGTATGATTTTTTCTCTTCTATTCATTTGCTTGCAAATTTCACAATTTCCTTGTTTTTAATAGCTGAGTAGTATTACATTGTGTAAATGTGCCACAATTTTTGTATCTTTTTCTCCATTGAGGGAAATCTAAGTTGTTTCTAGATTTTGGCTATTATGAATAAAGCTGCTATGAACACAGTTGAGCAAATGTCCTTGTTTTATGGCAGAGCATCTTTCCAGTATATGCCCAGGAGTGGTATAGCTGTGTCTTGAGGAAAGGCTATTCCATTTTCCTGAGAAAGCACCAGATTGATTTCCAAAGTGGGTGTACAAGTTTACATTCCCACCAGCAGTAGAGGAGGGTTCCCTTTTCTCCACGTGTTGTCACTTGAGTTTTTGATCTTAGCCATTCTGATGGGTGTAAGGTGAAATTTCAAGGTCATTTTGATTTGCATTTCCCAGATGACTAAGGAAGATGAGCATTTCATTAAGGGTTTCTCCACCATTCTATATTCCTCTTTTGAGAATTCTCTATTTAGATCTCTACCACATTTTTTTAATTCACTTTTTTTTTATTTATACAATTTATTCACTTTGTATCCCAGCTGTAGCCCACACCCTCAAGCCCTCCCAATCCCACCCTCCCTCAGTCTTCTCCTCCCATGTCCCTTCTCCAGTCCACTGATAGGGGAGGTCCTTCTCTCCTAACATCTTATCTTAGCCTAACAGGTCTCATCAGGGTTGGCTGCACTGTCTTCCTCTGTGGTAGTAGCTGAGTTAGTAACAGGTTTTCAATTCTTTTGCCATTTGTGAAATCAGGTTATTTGTTTTCTTTTATTTAATTAATTTATTTATTCATTTTACATCCTAATCACAGTCGCCTCCCTCCTCTCCTCCCCATCCCATCTTCCATGCCTCTTCTTCTATTTTCCCCTCCCCTTCAGAAAAGG